GACCGACATCAATTACTACTGTTCAGACGACTGCTAATGAATCACTTGAAAACATCATTTACATATCTTATCTTCCTCATGTGAGTGGCGCCAAGTACAATGCATAAATGGGAAAAAGGAACAGATCATGTTTATAGCCAAGTTAAGATAAAGTTTCCCTTGATATGACTTCACTCAGATTATATGCACATGCTGCTTTCTTTGTTCCATCCTTTTTACTATCTTTCTACACTCGCAGACAACACACATATTTCTAAAAGTTTAAGTTATAAGCATTTATCATGTATGATGTTTTACGCTATAACGATAAGTTAACTCACAACAACAGATAAAAAGCAAGTTTAATAGCCTTAAATAGTATAAAAATTATTCACTTACAATATGTATAACTTCAATCACATTTCTAATATGTAATCATAGAGATTAAAAAGGAATGAAAGAGCATGATTTGGCACAAGTATTAGCAGAAGTGTAAAATAGTAATAACGGCGTCTAAGCTCAAAATCAAAAGATGGTACTCGATGTCTTTTTGGTCACCATCGAGGTGGTCGTTTACTCGTTTCTTTTTCATCTTCCCGAATTATTGACCATGAAGTTAGTTTGAAATCATGTCATGTAGTATATGTAGTAAAAGATTAATTAACACGAGAATGAGGTTTGATGGCGTATTTGTGTATATCAATATTATTGATCATCATCTAATGGGTTATTCCAATATTGTTTCCATAGGATTAGATTTTTTTGTTTTTTGTTTTTGGGTTGAGAAACTGAAAATTTTATTAAAACACACTAAGGTACGTTCTTCCACACTATTACACAAAACATTAGTACCTGGAAAACCATTACAATTGTCAACTTTGGCCAACGTCCTACAAGCGTTGTCGACTGGATGCTTAGCATCCTGATAGAGGATGTGGTACTGCTAAATAAACATGTTTATGGCTATTGAAATGATAGATTGCTTCCCTAACTAATAAGTGAGCTATTACGTTGTTGGAGTGACATGATAGATTTGGACATCTAATTTTGGGTTGTAATACATCAGTAATCTACTTGGGCCACAGGTGTAATTGGTCAGTATTGTAATTGGGCCACGGCCCATTATAATTATTTCCCTGTATTCTTTTGTAGTAGAAAATCAGGCCCATTGTATATATAGGCATGGGAACATTCTAAAGAGGGACGGATCATTATTATTCAATACAAAAAAATTTGCCCAAAATTCTTCTCTCATTTTCTCTCTGTAAACCTAACATAGATTCACCATATTTGTTCGATCTCTGATCTAACATGGTATCAGAGCCATAAAATCGTTGATCCTTCACCTCGTAATCTTAGTTGTGTTGATTTTGGAGATCTTATTTCGTTAGCTACCGAACTTTCTTCATCTGGTCTTAGCGGTCAGAGTTTCAATTTTTTTTGTCTCTTCTACTGGTTTCTTTACTCGCTTGCATTGGAATGTCATCGACATCTACGGAATTTGTGCGATTCTTTCTTCAATCGGAGTTTTTGGAGGATTTTCTTCGAAGTTAGGGTTTTCAGTTCTCGTCAATTTTGTGCGTTTCATCTTCAAGGCCTTTTACTTCTTCAGGTCGCGAAGAAGTTTGGTACACTCTTTCCTATTTTTCTATATTCGTTGATTCTGTTTTAAGAGATTCAGATTTGTTGGAGATCAGTTGTTTCTGAGCATTTTTGTTGACAATCATGGGTGATTCCATTTTAAATACTGGTCCTTACGTTCCTGAACCTACTAGTCCTTTATTTTTACTTCCTTCCGATGTGCCGGGAGTGTCTCTTGTTAGTGTTCCTTTCTCTGGGACAGGTTTTGGGGTTGGAAGCGAAATATGATAGTTTCTTTGTCTGCTAAAAACAAAATAGGGTTCATAGATGGCTCGTGCGTTAAACCTCCTGAAACCTCTCCTCATTATAGACAATGGGATAAGTGTAATAACATGGTTATATCATGGTTGACCAATTCATTATCCCCAGACATTGCTGAGAGTGTACAATACTCAGAAATAAATGAGAGTATTTGGAAATAATTAAACAATAGATATGGGACTGTTAGTGGGACTAAAGTCTTTGAGATTAAAAGAGAGCTTTCCTCCACTTATCAAGGATCCCTAGATGTTGCTTCTTACTTTAATAAGCTTAAAAAACTTTGGGATGAACTAGAGATTATGCGCAGTAGTCATGCTAATGCTTGTGCTTGTGCTGCTAAAGAAGGTCTCCAGAAATAAAAGGAAGAAGATAAAGTTCATCAATTTCTAATGGGCCTAAGTGAAGTCTATGTAGGAGTTAGAATCAATATCTTAATCATGCACCCATTGCCTTCCCTTGATAATGTTTATAATATACTCCTACAAGATGAAAAACAAAGACAAGTTCTTCCAAATCCACAAGCTTATTCTGAATCAGCCTCTTTCCATGCAAACTCCAATAAGTTTCCTCCTCAATTTTTACCTCAGCAACAATATCCTCAGAAGTTGAAATTTGATCGGTATAATCAAAGGGTCAATCCTGATCACAACAAGGCTTCACTGTTTTGCAAGTACTGCAAGAAGCCTGGCCATGTAATTGAAAAATGTTATAAGTTGCATGGGTTTCCTCAGAATTTCAAGTTTACAAGAGGTAAAAAGTTTGGTACTGCTGCTACTGTTAAAGGCAGCCTCCTGGTGTTTCTGATCATACTCCTTCAAATGCTGAGGATTCATTAATACCTGGTTTAACTAAAGAACAGTATATTCAAATGATGAGCCTTCTTCAACAATCTGGTCTCAATGAGTCATCATCTCAACCTGTCATCATGGGTTCTGCAAACTTTGCTGGTAGTTCTTCTTCCTTACCTGTGTGTCTGAATGGTACTTCTAATGTGCGCATGTTGACTAATGTAGCTGGAAGGATATAGATAGTGGATTCTGGGGCCACCGACCATATGACTTCAAATAAAAACCTTCTTTTCAACATTACTCCTCTACCTATCCCTTATCTAGTCTCTTTGCCTAATGGTTACAAAGTGAAGGTCACATGTACTGGATCTCTTACTTTGTTACATTCCCTCACTCTTCATCATGTTTTATACATACCTACTTTCCACTATAATTTGATTTCAGTAAGTAAACTGATTGATCAATTCAGATGTTATATTTTATTCACATTCCATTCTTGTATACTTCACAGGCCCATTCTATGAAGAAGCTTCTGGAGCTTGGTAGAATGGACCATGGACTATACAAATTTTACTTCAACCAACCTACTTCTCCTGCATCTGTTTCCCAAAATGTCATGGATAGTATTAACAGCCTATTCCTCTTCCTGTTGTTTCTGATTCATCTGTTTCTAGTTTTAATACAATAGCTGAAGTGCATGATTTTCCTTTGAATGCACATGTAGATGTTCTGAACTCTCTTCATGATCCTGTTTCATTACCAAATTGTAACAGTAACCAACATATAAATAAAAATGATGTTTTTTGGCATCACAGACCGGGTCATGTTCCTTTTGCACAAATGAAAAATATACCTTCTATTTCTTCTTCTTTACCAGCAAAACAGTCCTTTATTTGTCCTATTTGCCCTTTAGCAAGACAACCTAGACTGTCATTTCCAAACAACTCTACTCATTCTACTGCACTGTTTCAACTTATACATGTAGATACTTGGGGTCCCTACCACACTCAATCATATTCTGGGCCAAGATACTTTCTGACTATAGTTGATGATTACAGTAGGGAAACTTGGACACATTTGGTGCACTCCAAAAGCTATGCCTTTAGCTTAATTAAGGCATTTATAGCAATGGTTAAAACACAATTTCAACTTCCTACAAAGTCATTAGAAGTGATAATGCCTTAGAGCTTGGATCTTCTAATTCAGCTCTTCAGTTCTTTTCTGACACTGGAATAATCCATCAAACAACTTGTCCTCACACCCCACAACAGAATGGGGTGGTAGAAAGAAAACACAAGCATCTACTTGAAACTTCAAGAGCCTTACCAAATTTTGGGGTGATTGTGTTTTAATAGCAACTTACCTTATCAATAGGTTTCCCTCTTCAGTTTTACACAACAAGACACCATTTGAACTTCTTTATGGTAGTCCACCTTCTTACTCTCACCTAAAACCTTTCGGCTGTCTATGTTATGCTACTGTACCTAAATGCAATAGGGACAAGTTTCAGCCAAGAGCTTCTCCTTGTGTGTTCATTGGATATCCCTATGCTAAAAAGGGTTACAAACTCTTCAACTTAAATACCAAGTCAGTTTTGTACTCCAGAGATGTCATTTTTCATGAATCTGTATTCCCCTATCAATTGATACACTCTACTTCTTCTTCTTCTACTCCAACTTCCTCCTTTCCCATGTACTCTTTTGATACACATTCTAATTTGCATAGTTCCAGTCCACCTGGACCTTCCTCTCCAACTGTCTCCATTCCATCTGACTCACCTCCTCCTGATGCTTCTTCACCACCTGAACATGATCCTGTTCAGCCCACCTTCCCAATACATGAGTCAGAACCTCAAACTCATCCATCTCATGTGATTAAAAAAAGTTCTAGAACCCACCACATACCGTCTCACTTGAAGGACTATGTTGTACAACTTCCCTCTTCCCTTTCCTCTTCCACTCCTTCCTCCTTTTCTGCTACACAACATACACTAATAGAACCTCATTCTTACACTCAGTCTGCTGCCAGCCCTGCTTGGCAGGAAGATATGGCCAAAGAGTTTGAAGCCTTAGAGGCAAATAAGACTTGGCAGATTGTTGAATTACCTTTTGGCAAGAAACCCATAGGTTGTAAATGGGTGTATAAAATTAAATATAAAGCAGATGGTAGTGTGGAAAGGTTTAAGGCCAGATTGGTAGTTAGAGGGGACACTCAGGTAGAAGGGATTGATTTCAATGAAACCTTCTCACCTGTTGTCAAGATGTGCACTGTCTGATACTTGATTGCTGTTGCAATGCCTTCCTGCACGGTGACCTAGATGAAGAGGTCTACATGAAAATTCCCCCAGGGCTTTCTGCTCCTTCAACTTCTTCCAGTTCTGCCCCCTTGGTATGCAAACTTCAAAAATCCCTTTATGGTCTTAGAGAAGCTTCTCGACAGTGGTATGCAAAGTTATCACAAGCTCTTTTCTCCAGAGGGTATATTCACTCATTGATTGACTATTCATTATTTGTTAAGAAGTCTCCATCCTCTACTGTTTTTCTTGCTGTTTATGTGGATGACATTATCCTTAGTAGAGATGATTTTTCTGAGATTTCAGCTCTTAAGTCATTTTTGGATGCCCAATTCAGAATTAAGGATTTGGGACTCCTTCATTATTTTTTGGGTATTGAGGTTCTTTATCACTCCTCAGGTATTATTTTGCATCAAAAGACGTTCATAAACGATTTGCTTACTGAATATCATTGTTCTGATGTTTCTGAGGTCGTTGCTCCTTTAGACATTTCACTTAAACTACATGCTGATGTTGGGGATTTGTTGCCTGAACCTGATAAGTATAGGAGTTTAGTTGAGAAGTTGAATTATTTGACTCACACTAGGCCTGATCTATGCTTCACTGTCCAGCACCTTAGCTAGTTCCTCCAGGCTCCTAGAATTCCACACATGTCTGGTGCACTACATGTTTTGAGATATTTGAAGGGTACGCTTGATCACGGGGTATTTTTTAACAACTCTTCTGATTTCTCCTTGTTGGCTAGCTGTGACAGTGATTGGGATGCTTATCCTACTTCTATAAGGTCTGTTTCTGGGTTTTGCATTCATTTAGGGGGCAGCCTCATTAGTTGGAAGTCTAAAAAATAGCAAATTATTTCTTTATCTTCCGCTGAAACTGAATATCGGGCCATGAGTAAGGTGGTTGCAAAGTTAGCTTGGCTTGTTCGTTTGTTGGCTGATCTGGGTGTGCCTTTTACTACTCCTGTTCCACTATTGTGTGACGGCCAAGCTGTCTTTCATATAGCCAAAAATCCAGTCTTTCATGAGCGTACTAAACATATTGAAGTAGACGGTCACTTCATCCGCACCAAGTTGGCTGATGGGCTTATTTCTTTATCTCATATTCCCACTTTTTCACAAATAGGTGATATTTTTACTAAGTCCTTGCCAGGTTTGCAGCATCGCCTATTATCCAGCAAGTTGGAAGTGTGCCCACCCTCCAACTTGAGGGGGGTTTTGGAGTTACATGATACATTTGGACATCTAATTTTGGGTTGTAATACATCAGTAGATTACTTGGGCCACAGGTGTAATTGGTCAGCAGTGTAATTTGGCCACGACCCATTGTAATTATTTCCCTATATTCTTTTGTAGTAGAAGATCAGGCCCATTATATATATATATATATATATATATAAGCATGGGAACATTCTAGAGAGGGACGGATCATTATTATTCAATACAGAAAAATTTACCCAAAACTCTTCTCTCATTTTCTCTCTGTAAACCCTAACATAGATTCTCCATTTTTGTTTGATCTCTGATCTTTACATATATTTCCTTGTTTGAAATTATACATGACCTTTGGCTTTCCCATTCTGGAAGTCACGAAGTAAAGTATTGTAAGTAGGGTATTCATGATCACCTCAGTTGAATCTATTTTCACTTCTCCAAAGAAGTTAAAGACCCTTGTCTGAGTGTCAACAATTCTGCTTGAAGTGAGATACTGCTTGGGAGGAATGTTGGAAGCCAACAATCCAGTCACCATTTCTATTTCTTATCACTTCCCCGTACTACAAACTAACTTGTCTCGCATAAAAGCGCCATCAACGTTCAACTTATACCACCTAGCAGGAGGATTATGACATTGGTTTGAGGTATGAATTTATTTGCTTATGTTGTTTTATCTATCGTGAGGACCTTATATTCCACAAAGTGATTAATGATGATGTTGTATATAATTAGAGTTTAGATGGTATATGTTGGGTGAAATTGATGTTTTATACTTCAATACCACACCGGGAGAGGGGGGGGGGGGTGATTTGTGTGGTGACCAATTTTTCACTTAAGTTGTTTATGGAAGGACCTGGTTCTTCTACGTGTTCCTTAACCTACTATTGAAGAAATAATAAATGCGGAAAGTAAAGAACACAAGTATTTTACGTGGAAAACACCTGGCTCAAAAGGTGAAAAAATCACGACCTACTTTCTAGTAGGATTTTCCCAAACTCTCCACTAAAATCACTGAGCCAAAAACTGCATTTACAAAACACTTTTGTAAACCTAGGATTAACTCTAATCCCATTGTAGCGCACAACCTCAACTGTTGCGACAACTTCAAGTTAACTCTAACTTGAAAACTCTGAGTACCTAATACAATTGCTTCTAGATAAAGCTGAAAGGTACAATATGAAAGCACCTACTACAATTGAACAGAATAAAAGACAGACACTTGGAACTGGTTCTTCTATCTGGTTCAAGTAGCTTCAGGTTTGCACGCTTGAATCACACACAAATTGCTTGTAAAATTGCCTTGCTATTTTGCTCTCAATTAACGTTCAACTTCTGCTTATGTGCGTTACCTCTAAAAGACAATAACACTGATATTTATAGAGTTAGTAAATAGAGATTGAATAGAAGTCTGATGCTACTCTTCCTTGGTTGATGAGGTCTAGTTGATCTAAACCTCTAACTCCTCCTCTTTCTTAAGCCGTGTTCTCCTTGAGTAAGGAGTCATTCTCCTTATCTAATTGTCGCGCCCCCTTTTTCCTCGCGGAGATCGGGTTGCGACACTTTGGGACAACTCCTTTCCGTTTGGGAATTGGTTGTGAGATTTGAAGAGTCGCCACCTAACGGATTAAGATGCGTTAGGGCACCTAGAACAAATAACTCGTGAACTAGTTTACATCACCAAAGATTTGGGAAGGGCTCAAAATTACCTTGAGGGGAAGGTGTTAGGCACCCCTTGAGGTCCACAACGGTGGGTCCCGGCCAACCTCAATTTAAGCGAATTAGTCTTATAAGCAGATAAACAAACATACATTATTTTAAAAAAACAGGGAGTAAAGGGGTCCTAGGTTTTTTAGCCTATAGGATCACTTATGTGCAATACTCGGTAAACTTTCCTTAAATAGAGGAGTTACGCGCACCATTACCGCACATGTTATCATATCCTTTACTACCCAATTACCCTCCCCTTAATTATTACCTACGCGTTCTAATAGCATTGAATACGTACCCTATGCGTGCGTTATCCGTCCCTTTCCTAGGGCCCTGGTGGTGCTTAGGAACTCTAGTTAAGCTGGTTCTAGACTTACCTATGGTGCTTAAAAGGATAAAACTAGGTGTCAAACAAAACAGGTAGGACTGTCACATAAGGAGCAGTTAAAGGGGCTCACATTTACCTCCGCAAGTAAGCAAACAATTGCACGCCTCAAACAAATAGTTTTAAACGATTTAAAGTCCTACAGCAGGATATCTAGATGAGCACAAAATATGCAGCAGTTTCATTAAGGCGAGGCAGTAAATACCTAATCAGCTTGCGTACTGATTTTATTACTTCCTGAACCTGGGCAGTTTATAAGTAGTCAAACAAACACAGTTTTGGCAACTTCAGGGTTTTATTTATCCTACAGGCTTGCCTAGGCGATAACCGACAGGATCCTATAGCTATGATATCTAAACATATTATAAACCAGTGACTAGTTTAAACAGGGAGATTTTATCCGTTTAGACCCTATAGGCATGATGTCTACGTGCTGAAAATGATCACAGGCATTACAGAACCGATTTTACATGTTTATCTCTATGAGCATGATATCTAAGTGTTGGAACTGTTTTTATACTAATTCCTTATAGGCATGACGATTAAGCGATGAAACTGACTTTATATATATATTTTCCTATAGGCATGATATCTAGGCGAATAAAGGTGACAATTAAGTGCCAAGTGAGTGCAACGAAATATCCCATAAACATGATTTCTAATGCACATAGAGGTTTTGAAAACATTGCAGAATGGGTAAACGGCCTAGAAACAGGATTTCTAGGATGAGAATTCAACATAATGAGATAAACCCTATGAACATGGTTTCTAATGCAAATAAATATCATCACAATAGTCTTATAGACATGGTTTCTACCCGATCCACCACAAAGTTATATATAAAAATCTCTTTCCGATTTTACTAATAACCCCAGTATCTGTTATTACAGGAATTATTATTACAGACCAGACATAAAATGAATTACGGAATGAAATTGCTATACTATATGGAGCCTGGATAGGCCCAAAAGTAAACCTGGAAACCAGGCCTTCAACCAAGTCTGAAATATACCAGTATCTCATAGTACACCAAATGACCTCCTGGTGCGTCATAGTTCCCAAGGGCCTCAGGGACCCCGGGTAATGCTCACACCAGAAACCCTTTTAAGAAATAGTTTTGTGAACAAGTTTTGAAAGCCAGCCCTAGTGTATCAGAGTTCGGAGGAGTCTCATGGACTCCTAGGCAGTGCAAACACTAGAGGGGCAGGACCCTAGATATTCTAAGAGTAGGAGTTGAAAATAGTACTTAAAAATAGGAGATAGTTTTAAGAAAATAGTTTGGATTTTAGGAGTAAATAAGAAGAAACAGAGTCATTTCAACACTTAAACAAAGATTCCAGCAATCAAACAGTAGACAGAAACAGGATCACAACCACTTCAAGCAAAGTTTCACGTTGCCTAGATTTGACTTAGTTCATTAATCATCACTAGGTGGTAAGATAGTATGCTGGGAACAGAATAAGAAATAGACAACTATGCAGAGAAAGGTAGTAGGGGTTGGGAACATAGAAGTCAGGAACACAGAAAACAGGGCAAGTATGCTAGTTGAGAAAACAAGTAGATAAGCATCCTATATCAAATAAGAACATGCTAAACTGTGTGATCCATATTGACATATTGAACAAGACAATTTCACGAGAGTTAAGGGCATGCTAGTTATTAGAAACATACCACATGCAAAGACAGGTTGACATCTTATAATAGTCAGATTCCACAACATACTGAATAGGGCATAACAACAGAAGTAGTCTTGCTAATTTAAATCAATGAACAGGAAAGACATTCACAGTAGTAATCATGCTAATTGTGAGCAATAAACAGGAAAGACAGGAGTGAACTGCACAGAAGTGGTCATTCTGATGGAGAGCAATAAACAAGGAAGCACATAGGTTCAACTCCATAGCATATTGAATGATAATGGGAATGGAGACATACCAGTTAGGAAATAGCAAACAGGAAGTTGAAAGTATGCAGAATCCAATAGTCTAGCCTTGGCTTTCAGCCAGCTAGACAATGTAGCAAACACAAGTAACAGAAAAAGTTTGAATTAGAGCAAGAGTTTGTGTGTGTGTGTATGTGCTTCTTTCTGAGTATGTGTGTCTGTTTTCAAAAGTAGAATGGGGTTTATATAACATCGAGTAAAGTGAAGCAAATAAGGTAAAGGGAATCAAGAGTTCACATATAAGGCAAAGAGACCAATCAATCAATCAACTAGGGCTTAACATGACCAATTAACAGGCAGGATTCCGGGATAGATGCTTCAAATTGGGAAGAAATCAATTATCAGCCAAATTAGGGTTTAAATAAGGCAAGAAAA